TTTTTGGTGTTTTCTTGGTTGTTTATTAAATCTTAGCAAAAGTAGAGAAAGTTCAGCAGCACTTTTAGCCACCAGCTAAAAGTGAGGAAAATGGAGATGAATCCAGCTGCTACAAGCTAAACAGTCCAATAGAGAATTAACACCTATATTATTTATTATGATATTATTGATACTTTTGACCCAATAATTAAATTCCCATGACCCTCAATGTGACACTAATTGTCCAATCAGAAACTACTGCCTGAAACCACGAGGAAAAAGGAAGATGAGCACCCAAAGAGACCCCACCCCAAATCCTCCACCTTGTACTATATCTATTAGTATATTATAAAAACCTCAGATTTAAACCCTTCACCATGTGCAATCACACACTTCTATTTAACTACACACTCATGATTTTAACCCCAAATTTTGGAAGCCAAGGCCACAGGTGAAAAGCAATGTTCACAATGTTCTCCAGGGGCTCAGAAAACTCAAAAATCCCAGATTTCTGGCATCCAGCAAAGTGTGTCACACTCTGTGCTGTGCCAGCTCACAGGTTTGTGCTCTTTGTCTGCTCCTGTTGCTCCAGGGATCCCCCAGAAGCCGCAGATCTTTGGCCACGAGCAGCCCATTGATGAGGAGAAGGTGGCCCGGCTCCTGTGCCGCTCGTCCGGCAGCAAACCCGCGGCTCAGCTGCGCTGGAGGAAGGGCAACAGGGAGCTCAAGGGTGGGTGGCCCTGTCCTGGGGCTTGGGGACACCGTGGGGGACTGGAGGGTGCACTGTGCCACACCAGCACCCCATTGATCCCATCCCACTGATCCCATCCCACTGATCCCATTGATCCCATCCCACTGATCCCATTGATCCCATCCCACTGATCCCATTGATCCCATCCCATTGAGCCCATCCCACCGATCCCATTCCATCCCATTGATCCCATCCCATTGATCCCATTGATCCCATCCCATTGAGCCCATCCCATTGAGCCCATCCCATTGATCCCATTCCATCCCACTGATCCCACCCCATTGATCCCATCCCATTCCACTGATCCCATTCCATCCCATTGATCCCATCCCATCCCATCCCACTGATCCCATCAATTGCATCCCATCCCATTGATCCCATCCCATCCCATTGATCCCATCCCATTGATCCCATCCCATCCCACTGATCCCATTCCATCCTATTGATCCCATCCCATTGATCCCATCCCATCGATCCCATTCCATCCCATTGATCCCATTGATCCCATTGATCCCATTCCACCCCATCCCATTGATCCCGTCCCACTGACCCCATTCCATCTCACTGACCCCATCCCATTGATCCCATCCCACTGATCCCATTCCCTCCTATTGATCCCATTTCATTGATCCCATCTCATCCCATCCCAT